TAAAGAATGAATGAAAGTCAAATGCAGATAATTCTGCAAAGGTTTTGCTATGAAGGGAAACTAAAGGATTGGGATAGTAGCTGGAGGGTCATTAGATCAAAAGGCTTTACATTTGTGTTTTTAAGTTAGGACATACTGAAGTATGCTTGTACACGGGTGGAAATGGTCCAATAGAGAGGGAGCGGTTGACAATTAATGCAGGAGAGAGAGACCACAGCTGAAGGAGCAAAGTCCTTGAGCAGGTGCGCTGGGATAGTGTATCAGTTTCCCATGCCTGCTCTAACACACTACCACAAAGTTGGGGGCCTCAAACAACACACGCTTGTTCTCTTACAGTTCTGGAGGTCAGATGCTCAAACTCAGTTTCACTGGACTGAAGTCAAATTGTCAGTAAAGCCAAAGGTCCCCCTGGAGGCTCTAATGGACAATCTATTTTCTTGCTTTTGCCAGCTTCTAAGAGTTGCATTCCTTGCTTCACTGTGCCTTCTTCCATCTTCAAAGCAAGCGGTGGAATATCGTCACATGTTTCTCTGCTCTGGTCACATTGTCTACTCATCTACAGTCAAACTTCCCTCTGCCTCTCTCTTCTAAGGACACTGTGATTACATTTAGGGCCCACGCAGATATTCCAGCATAATCTCCCAACTTTAAGATCTTTAATTTAATCATACCTGCAAAGTCTGCTTTGTCCTAAGGTCACACTCAGAGGTTCCAGGGATTAAGACCAGGGAGGCATTATTCAGCCAACCATGGATGGGCTGTAGAGCACCTGCGGAGGACTGGCCTGTGCCAGGAGGGGGATACTTTCTATCCCCTTGTAACCAGAGGAAGAAGGGGAGGGGCTCATGCAGGGCTGTCTAGATTTGGTCATGAAAAGATGAGGGAGTTTGTGGTTTTTGGCTTCAATTTTCTGAGAGAAGTATGAGGTCAAGTTGACAGCTGGGAGGGATGGTGGCTGAAGGGGGATAGAGAGGGGATTGCATACAGTGGGGAAACAAACTACCTTTTAGGCCTTTCAGCATCACTGTGGGAGAGCATGGCAAGGCAGTAAGTGTAAGGATGAGAACCCATGGGATGTAATTTGGTTTGGAGGTAAGGGAAAACATAGCAGCAGTCTAGTGGATTGTGAGAAGACTGAGATGATGCGATTGGGAGCTCAGAGGTCATGATGAGGTAATATTGAGCAAGTGAACTGTAAGTACAAGAGGTGTTGGACAGAAGGGGATGTCTTTAATTCATATCTTGGAGACAGTGCAGTTTTTGGTGATGCCAAGTTCTAGGGTTTCCCTTTGGGAGGAATCACTGAAGGATAGATGATCAACCACCGGGATGCTGAAAACACCAGGAATGAAGACAGGAAAAGGGTGGCCAGGAAGCAAAGTCTTCAGTGAATGGGGTTGGGTGTGTGAGTGTGTGTGGGGAAGGTGGGGGGTAGGCAGGACCTGGAAGAAGTTAGATGATGGAAGTGGGTGGATGACAGGAACTGGAAGAACAGTGGATGCCATACTCAATGGCATCAATTAAATGAGAGCTGGAGTTTTGCCAGAGGAAGGGGGAGAAATGGTCTGGAAGGAGCAGTGGGGAGTAAGGAAGCCACTGCTTTACTTCCTGGCTCTAAGGGACTCAAGGTGTGAAAGAATAGTTAATACTTAAGAGGGCTCCTATGTTTCTGTGTTTGTTCAAAGATAAGGAAAGACGTTGATGCAATAAGAGTATGTGCTAATCCTTTGTTGGAATTTCCCAGTATCACAGGGGAAGGGATTGGGAGGTATGAGGTTTTGGGGAGCACAGGGACGAGAGTCTGGCAATAATAGGTTATTGGAGAGGGCTCCTGGACTTCTAGTGGTGAGTGATTTTCATAAGGTCACAAAGCACATGAAACCACATCACAGAGGGCCTTGAGTTGCACACTAAGGAATCTGTGTTTCACTCTGAGGCTGGGGGAGGGGGAGGGTGTCGAACAGCAAACTATCATGGTCAGAAGTAGGCTTTAGGAACATTAATTTTCCAGCCATTGAACAAAAGAGACACTTAGACAGCTACTGCAATAAGTCAGGATTAAGGTCTGATCAGGGTATGAATACTGAGAATGGTGGAAAGAAATGATAGTTCCGGGCTGGCGGAGTGGTATGTTGGTTAAGAGTTGGCTTGGGACACCAGCTCTGAGCAGCAGGGCCCTGGTTTGGATCCCACATCAGGGTCAGTGATGCTGCGCCCTCTACAGCTAAGATGGTGAACAACAGCTCGACCTGGAGCTGGGCCGCCGTGAGTCGCCCGCGATGGCGTAGGCTGCCGTGAGGCTGCAGTGGACTGCCATAAGCTACCGTGAGTGGCTGGCAGCCAGTGTGAGCAGCCAGCAGCTGGTGTGAGCTGCCAAGAGCCGCCGTGAATGGCCGTCCAATGGCCGGCGACCGATCTGCTTCAGCCGGGAAGAGTGCAATGATCATACCAACATGGGCCAGTGAAGC